AATGCAATATCTGGGAAAGTTAGAGAATTTATACAGGGTGCAGTATATGGAGGTAGAAATATGAGTAGAGATAATACTAACAACCATGTTACTAAAGATTTATATGATTATGGCGCATGTTCATTATATCCCAGCGCTATACATAGGCTAAAACTAGCAACTGGAAAACCTATAGTAATCCCACAAGAATCATGAATAAAACTATATTAAACCACTTAATGTTAGAACAACAATTAGAACCAACAAATGAACGTTATATATCAGCATTTATTGTAGACATAGAAATAACCAAGGTTAACAAACATTTACACTTTCCAATTATAACTAAGAAAGATAAAAAAGGTAATCATAATGTTAATGAATGTTGTACAATGAGAGTAGATAATATTATGCTTGAAGATATGATTAAATTTCAACAAATAGAGTTTAATATTATTAGAGGATATTATTGGACTGGTTGTAAATCTAATGTGTTTAGTAATGAGATTGAAAAGATATACAATTTAAGATCTCAATTTAAAAAAGAAGGTAATCCGTTACAAAATAATTATAAATTATTGATGAATAGTTCATATGGAAAAACGATTCAAAAACCAATTAAAAATGACTTGGTTTACAAATATATCAATAATAAAGGAAAATCCGATTCAGGTAGATATCTTAAAAAGAACTTTACATTAGTTAAATCTATGTATGATATATCAGATAATATCAGATGTTTTGAAACAAATAAACCATTTGATGACTTCTATGTTCCTAATCTTATAGGAGTTCAAATATTAAGTATGAGTAAGAGAATAATGAATGAAGTAATGTGTTTAGCAAAAGATTTAAATATAGATATATATTATCAAGATACTGATTCAGTGCATATAGACAAAAATAAGATGGAACTATTAGAACAAAATATAAAGAAATATATGGTAAAACATTAAGAGGAAGTGAATTAGAACAATTGCATCCAGATTTTGATGAATTATCTGGGGATGTATATTCAAAAGAATCTTTCTTCTTAGGTAAGAAAGTTTATATAAATGTATTAACGAATGAAAAACAATAACATGCTTAACATATATGAGAATGAAAGGTATTCCAAACAATTTATTGGAAAATAACAAAAATCTAATTGAATTATATAAGAAACTCTACGAGGGAGAATCTTATACATTTAACTTACTAGAATTAAAACCCAGTTTCGAATTTAGTAAGACGTTTGATATTAAAACAAGAGAGAAC